GCGATTTCATTTTTTTTAAAAAAAAAAATCACATTTTGCAAAATCGCTGCCTCTGCAGCGATTTTGCTTTTTCCTGGAAAGTAAATCGCTGTTGATGCAGCGATTTTGCCGTTTTGGTTAATATAAAATTTTATATACCGTTTTGGAATTTTTATTAATATTTTGTATCCTTTAGGCTCCGTACTCTACATTTTAGCTATAATTTTTCAAATTCATGACTCTATATCAATTAATATATTATGATAATATACACACACTTCATTTTAAAAAAATATATATAAAATTTATAGTGGACGAATAAAAATAAATTAAGGATGTACAATGACAGATGTGGTGCAGTGAATATAGTTGTTTATCCCTTAATCGCAGATCTCATATCCAAACTTTGAGTATGAAAAGAAATTTTTGGTAGAGAACGTTTTTTTTTTCCCAAATAGATCCATATATGATACAAATTTAAAATGGAGTGGCCTAATATTGAAGGCATTTTGGTCATGATTTTTTTAAAATTTTTTTTATTCGAGGTTGAATTTCAAAAAATACATTTTGTCAAATTCTTTTATTTTAAATTATTAAGAAAAATAAAAAAATAATTTTAATGTTTATTCATGAACAAACACAAGTTGACCGATTTCAAGTGTGTTACCATTTTTACTACAAAAATAGAAATTACTTTTTTCAAATTTTCGCAATGATTAATGATCAAACGCCCACTTTTATCATTTATTTCACTAATCCACTAATTAACAATAATTTTATGTATATTCAACAGAAAAATAATATTTCTTTGTTATTTTATCTGTAATATTAATTACTCATCCTCCAAGACTTTAATTTTTGAAATGTTCATATATGACTATCAATGATAATAATATATTTAGTACAATATATTATAATTAGGTAGAATTTGAAAAAAAAAGAAAGATATACAGACCTTATCTCTAATTCATGAAGTAAAAATTTTATTTTCAAAAGATTATCGACTCAACTTACATATATAAAAAAAATTTAAAAGATAAAACATAAAACTAAAACATACCTGACAACTTTAATATATACTTCATCCATTCTAATTTTTTTTTTATCTTTTGTTTTAGAAAAAAATGGTTCCTTTATTTTTTTAACTTTTACCTAACATATTTAAAATTATCGAATTAAAAAATATTTTAATATAATTTACATATTTTTAATTTAAAATTATAAAATTCAAAAATTATCGTAAACAATAAATTTCTTTCCTAAAAAGGAATTATTCTAAGACAAAAATTTAGCGATAACTACTTAATACTCCATTTAATTTCAATATTATCTGCGGTACAATCTTTATTAAATTTTATACCAAAAATATGTAATTATCTGATTGATCAAACTTTGCTTTATCTTTTAATTGATTGAAAACTTGTGGATCCCCAAAAATAAAAACTTCTTGATATACGAATTGTTATCAGATGTATGTCTGGTGTTCAATTTAACTAGGAGTGTCACACATTATTTGAACACGTGACATTACGTAATTAATCTTTGATTTAATTTAATATAATGTGTCATGCTATTTTGATACGTGACATAAATTGTAGAATTATAATTAGTTTTATTTTTATATTATTGATAGTCTTAAAATATTTATTTGCTCGATTAACTGAACTTAAATACACATTGAAATTTTCGTCAACACTTCTCTTGTTTTTTAAAAAAATAAGAATCTCATTATCTTACATGAGTTTGAAATTACTTTGCTATGTGACGAGACAGATGGTGAGTATATATAAATTTAGTTAGTTAAGTAGAAAAATAATTTTTAAGCTGTGAATAATTCAAATACAAAACTAATAATTTGCATCAAGTTTAGGAGTCTTTTCTAACAAAAATTAGTACAATTGTCTATACTTTGAAATTCAAAAAAAAAAAGTTTTTATTTCTAAAGTTCAGAAATAATATTTTAAAAATTAAAACCGTGTTTAGCCATACATATAATATTTTATAATTACTAGTATATTTACAAATAATTTGAAGTGAAATATTTTTTTTCATCTTTTTCTTTTCTATTTTTTTAATTTTCTAAAATTCAACTTCAGATTAAATTTTTTTATCTTTATCTTTTTTTTTTAATTTTCTAAAATTCTAACTTCAGATTAAATTTCGAAATTTGTGCCCCACATATTTGGTTTATGAGATCTTGCTTACCGGGAGAAAAAAAACAAACAAATATGTATTTATTTTAGGCCATACATAACACTATAAATAAAAAAGAGATCTATAGATCTAATGTGGAGAGAGGGAGGTTAAAAATCCTAAAACCTCTCATCAACCGCAAAACCCTAGAGCTTCCAGCCGCCTCTTTACTTATTAAAAGGGCAACGGCACCGCGCTGCCACCACAAGCTTGGTAGCATAAGGGTAGCAGCCACCTCTCCCCGCCGCCAACAACTCATCTGCACCATTAATTCTGTGGTACACCCGATTTTTCTCAATCTTATCTGAATATTTGAAATTTACTGGCTCGATTTCTATTTATGATGTTTAATTTTATCCTACATTGTGCTTATTTTGACTCTATTTGTGAAATTATAAGTAATGTAGCGTGGTTAATGCTACATTGTTTATGAAATTTTGGAGCCATTATCATTCTCGTACGGATAATTAATCTCATTTAATTTTAGTGTGATTAAGTTATTGAGAATGGAATAATAATATCATTTATTTTTTTAAATAATTTATTTAAAATAATTTTGTTCAAGCCTTAAAGAGTTTTTTTTTGTTTGACCATAACTATTTCATTCACATTTATTCCTATACTGCTCTCATTTAGATTGGTCTCACTCTAATTTACAAGTGGTTATTTTTTATTTTTTTATATTTTTATTTTAATTATTAATGTGTTTTTAAGGGTGTTGATTTTGAAGGATAATATCAAGTAGTCGTGTAATTAAATTATGGTACCACTAAATTAAGCATGTTCGGAATGACTTATCCAAGATCAATAATTAGTAGCGGGATGAGTTATTCCTCTCCTGGGTGGTATAGTAATCCCAGTATAACTTATCTTGGGATAAAATAAATAAATAATAAAAGTGTCGCTTTCAATCTTTTTGTTACATCACTTTTCATATTCATGAAGGACATTTTTGTAAATAAATGAATTGTTCTTAGAATTTATTATTTTGAAATTTGAATATAACAAACCAAACAATCAATAAAAAATAATCTCATCATAACTTAGATTCAAACCAAACGACTCCTAATATCTTACATTGTTCGAACTGAGCGGCATTAAGGACAATTTCTTTGGACTATTTTTTTTAAGAGTTAGTATATAGTATAGTACTGATTTATTATTCATATTATTTCTGTTTGACAATAATTAAAACACTGTTTTTTTATAAGAGTTAGCATAGACTATAGTACTGATTTATTATTCATATTATTTTGACAATAATTAAAACACTATTTTTTTTAAAGAGTTAGCATAGACTATAGTACTGATTTATTATTCATATTATTTTGACAATAATTAAAACACTATTTTTTTTAAAGAGTTAGCATAGACTATAGTACTGATTTATTATTCATATTATTTTATTAAAACACTGTTTTTTAAAGAGTTAGTATAGACTATAGTACTGATTTATTATTCATATTATTTTGACAATAATTAAAACACTGTTTTTTTAAAGAGTTAGTATAGACTATAGTACTGATTTATTATTCATATTATTTTGACAATAATTAAAACACTATTTTTAAAGAGTTAGCATAGACTATAGTACTGATTTATTATTCATATTAA